AAAGAAAGGAGCAAACTTTCCACCACATCGTGCACCCTGGCATTCGTCACACATCTGGTCATCCAACACATATGGCTTTACCTCCACCTGTTGGAGTAAAACAAGAACAATTCTGGTTAATTCTATTCCTACTTACAAGTTATATGAGGGCATTCACTTTTTCTCTGATTAAAAAAAGAAAAAAAGTCGTCTGAAATCAGACATATCAACATCTTTCTCTAACTAATCAGTTATTATTCTTAAGCAGAACGCTTCAAAGCAGATCTTTACGAGTACACTATATATGTAATAAATAGTTACAGGAGAACCTCCCCCTAATTTACCGGGGAAGGATGTTCTTGGCAAATGATAATATGGAAGAAAACAAACGAACAAGCCCAAAGGTCTCCCAACTAATCTCATCAGCTCCCAAATGTACCCCAACATGACACCCAATTCTATACTGTTTAGCAAAGAATAACGGAATGTACAAAAAAGAATGTAATCATTTATATATTTATTAACCTTTGGAAAAAAAAAAGTACAAGTCTCTGCATGTACTACTATTGTGTGCAAATTAAACTTTCTGCAGGCTGGAATACAGATCTTTTAGCACTCCTGTTCCCTGTAAATTCACTCCTTATTTCTAAAATATGGTCAAATTTGGAGTGACAGATTTTTGTCATCTATTACTTTCCCTTTTTGTGGCTTTGAGCTGTACAGAAATTTGTATTCAATGTATTTATGAAAATATTTTTAAAAGACCATTTTGCAAGTCTACAGACTGCTAGCAACACCCATCTTAGGCAGTTTCTTTCTCCCAAACTCATCTGACTGTCAGAGTGGAAAAGTGGCAGGAGTCCAGTGGTAAATTTGCATTATGTCTTTGCGTAACTGAACTGTTACAGGCTGCGATCAGACAGGAAGAAAACTTCATAATAAAATGTAAAATGAGTTGACTCCTTCATTAAGGAACATATTGTTGTTTTCCACATTTTCCTCACTTTTGAAGACGGTATTTTCTGCCTTTTGTTGACAAAAAGAGTTATTCCAGTTCACACTAAAACTCACTGCTGTAAGACTTTTTTCTGAAATACTATTACCTGAGAAGAATGCTACATATAGACTTTATGTAGTATACTCAGAGTATGTCTGAAAAAATAAGAACTTCAAAATGCTAATTTTTCCATTGGGTCTCCAAAGGAAAAAATTTACACATACAGTTATCTGCCCCCAAGTTTTGCAGTAGAATAATCTTCATGTTCAATAGCTTCAGAAGCAGAGATTATACTTGACACGTCAAACGCATCTATGTTTGAAACAGAGCATGCGTCTTCCAGTAATCTGCATTCAGTACAAGCTCTACTTATTTCATTACAATGACCTGCCTTATCACAAATTACACTCAAACTTTCCAATAAACAGGTATCTTATGCAGTAACTGTGTTCATGGTTCAAAATCACTGAAAGCATGAAGCAGCATATATTTCAAGCTTCGGTGCGTTAATGCACCAAGATTGATATGAAGATGATTTCAAATGTATTAGAAAAACACTTTGGGGAATGAAGTATTACATGAAGTGGATGCAGACTGCTGGCATATGAAAGTTAACAACATTTTAAGGAATCGTCTGGAGCTGAAACTCCAAATGAGTTTCAAGGAAATGTTTGGAGCTGAGCTTTCACATGTGATAAAACAGGATGAGGAGCACTTTACTGAAGAAAAACATCTGTTAGAGAAACTAAACATATCTACACATCAAAAGAACCGGAGAGAAGCTGCAGACTGCTTAGGTAAGGAAGAACTTAAGATCATAGACACTGTTTGTTAAGCAACGGTGACACTAAGATTTCCAATTAAGGTAGGAAAAGGTATGTGCAAAACAAATGCTATAAATACTTTGAACTAAAGTTCAGAAGGATAAACAGGTGAACTGCAAAATTTAGCAATCAAAAAAGACTTACACAGACAAAACTGGTTATGAAAAGAACGTGAAAGCCAGCAGACCTACAGACACTGGATTTACTGGTATAGAAAGGCTATGCTAAGGTAAAGGGTAGGAGAACAGTCTGCCTCTAAGATTTCAGTGAAATGTGTAATATATTGCTTTACTGGCCAGCATACATATGCATCTCAGATGAAGGCAGTACCTGAAGTACGACCACCTTCCTCATTTACAAAACCAGTGGTTTTACAAATTATACAAATCTAGTTTATACAAATTGCTTGCTAACCTATAAATCAGCAGTAATATTGATTGCAGAATATTTTCAGAGTGTATAAACTCCATGGAGCAAAAAGCTATTTCCAAGAATAGCTTTTTTTAATACTTTCAGAAACACCAAAGAGTTAAGGCGTTCCCTAAAAAGAGGCTGTGCTCTCTTACTCCTCAGTAATGCAAATAACTGGGTTATATAAATATACATATAATTATATAAATAATAAGGACTGTCCATATGATTTCATTAGAAAAGATCATTTAAAAAATAAACTATTGAAAACACTCTGAAATCATTTGACTACTGTTTTTATAAATGATGTCTCATGGACATAACTCAAATGCTGTACTTCTGTAATCTAGTATTTGGGGAAGATCTTTTCATTTTTTTTTTCCCTGTCCAAGCTCCAAGAGGTCTGCAGCACATGCCCATGGTTTTACTGGAGACTTACTGCCCATCCCCCTTTAAGTATTTCAGTGTTGTATCACACATTAACAAGTTATATCCCTTTCTCTGCAAACAGCAAGCACTGCCATTTCAGATGCCGAGAGCCTTTAAAACCTCTGGTGACCTATCATAAAAAAAACAACAACAACAAACAAACCTACTTGGAAGTGCAGTATTCAAAGGCACTTCTTCATTTCTCTTACGTGATGGTGCTGTCAGTCTACCACATACTCCCCTACTGCAAAGGACACTCCATGGGAGGAGGAAGACCAAGGTAAAATTGTCCCCTAGTTTACAGGGTTCAAGGCTGTGTCTCCTACCTTTGAGGGAGAACTGGATGGGACCTAACTACCTATCTCTCATTTTAAGTTAGGTCACTTCACAGTCAAATGCACTATAAATGGTTCCTGAAACACACTGAGCTTACCCTATTCTGAAGCTAAATGACCCATTTAGTATTTCTTTAGAAGGGGTTCTGGATTCTGGTCCTTGCTCCTCTTTTTCACAATTACTGAAATGCAAGATGATGAATAGTTTTATCTTCCCCTCACACACCCACAGCGTCAAGGCCATTTTTCCTGTTGCCTAATTAGCCAAAAGGCAGAGCTTTTAGTCGAAGTCAGCTGCAAGTCACAAGGACAGCAATCCCACCAGCAAAACGTTCACATCTTACTGTGAAGCCCAGTTCACTACCCACACTCTGACCCACTCATCCTCTGGAAAGGACCATGTTTGGGGATTTCAGCTCACTAGGCAACTGGTATCCGAGAGACAGACGTAAAGCTGTATTGCTCTGCCTGTTTGAAAGGAGAGAAGCACACACTACCTCCCCTACAGCAGACTTTTGTTAACTGTACTACTTTTTCCATGTCTTTGATCTTTGATCTGTGGAGGAGACTGGACCTTGAACTACTTTACTTACTCAATCCCTCCTCCTATAAGACTTTTTTTTTTTTTTAAAGAACATCTATTAATACCAGTGACTACCTCTGAAGCCCTTGACATCAAAACTAGTGACACTTTAAATTGACATAATTTAGATGCCGGCTTTCTTTGCTACCTTCATACTTCTAATTAGGAGTAATGAAGTTGACTACCCTTCTTAATAAAAGCTAGTTTTGCTTTAGCTAGCAATAATCATCTGTAGCAACCAGAAACGTACATTGGTAAATATTAAGAAGAATTAATTAAGAATATTTGTAAATATTAAGAAGACTGTCTCAAACAGAAATGACAAGATATTTTGTATTTTAGTCAATCGAGCTTGATTGACTTTCTGTAGTGCTGAGCACTGACAATTATGGCTGAAATAAAGGGCAGCTGCAAATATAAAGCTAATCTGAAACCAGTGAATAGTAGAGTTCGCTACGAATGACACAGGAATTATCACAGTATTTGGTTTCATTAGAACAAGGGAGAGAAAAGGATTTTCAAGCCCTTTGCCCATACGCAACAAAACCAGGAACTCCAGAACGGAAAGAACATATGGCCTAACACATGTCCAAGGAACAAACTGCTCCTCTGTGGAATGCACGTTGTTTGTTTGGGGGCATTCACGGTTTAACTCTTGGAACTAGTGGAGTTACAGGAACACTAAAAGAAATGTAGAAGCTGGCATGAAAGCCAATCAATGCAATGTTACCACACCCTGAGAAGTTCCTTTATAGATCATCGCTCTCACATTTATTTGTTTTGATTTCTGTGTAACTTACTCGTTTATCAATATCGCCATGCTGAAGTTGAACAAACCGAGCGCTGATGGCAGCAATGTAACTCTGCTGATTGGAAAAAGCAACACGTCCAGCACCTTTTGGGTATTTCAGCTCAGGGTCAGTATCAATTCCTGCGTAACAAACTCCACCATACAGACGGTCCATGATCATAGCCAATTCCACTATTAAGAAACAAAATAATGTTCGTTTGAACTATTCTTACAGTATGAACTTTATATAACATTCCTGTATTTAAAGATACTAGAAAAGTTAATTTTAATAATTAATTTTGCAACAGCCGATGTAACAGTAACAACAACAAAAATAAAAACATATTAAATAAGCTATGAAATACTCAGCAGACAGATCTTTCACACTGTGGGTATATACATCCAAGGAACAATGGAATTGTAAGTCTTTGCAGTCCTTGATAACCTGGAACTGAAATTCCAGGGCAGTTTTCTTCAGGGGATTACAGCAAAAGACTTCTTGGGCAGGCCTGGAATGTAAGCTGTATAAAATAGATCCACATGCCACAAATTTCTTGGTACATGTTCTCTGGCTGTCCTAATGCTCTATGTTCTACTTGAATTTAAAGATGTAGTTAGTATCTTTTCATCAGCCACACAGAGCTCAATTATCTTTACAGTGCCACACTTACCATAGATACTGAGTTCTTAGAAACAAAAATCTCCAATTCTACTGATCAAGTATTTTAACAATCCTCTAGTAATATTTTACACTGAATTCAATTTTGTAATTCATTTAGGTGGAAAATACTTCTTTTTTTCAGAATTAGTATCCTTTGTATTAGGGTATAAAGGTGTCAAGCAGTCACTGAAGTTTAAGTTGTTAGAAAATTATCCTAAAGTTTTACTTCTTTTGTGAAGTCACAATTCTTATTTCACAATGCCATAAAAGTTTCATTTTAACATATACAGGGCATTTGAAAGCTAAGTCTAAGAAAGCATCCATTAAACTTGTCACAGAGGTTCAGCACAGTAACCTGGAGTATTTGGACTGAATTGAAAGAAAAATCAATCTGTAGTTGGAACTTACTGTGTTTATGCTCATTTACAAAGCTTGTACTACAGTCAAAAGTAGAGTCTCAGAAGTAAAATAACAGAAAAGCTTGAGCATTGCAGGTCCAAGATAGAAAAATTTAAGATTCTTTATACCCCAAATTTGGACTACCACTTCTTGGTTCTCCTACATCTTCCATCTGAAAGCTCATCTTTCTGTAAGAACAAAATTCATTACAAACTATGGAAGACTAATGAAGTCCAGGAGTTGTTCTAATGGAAAATGGGATTTGAACCACTGTACGTTATGCTTCCACTTCCAACACTCACTTCAACCTACTTACTAGAAAGCCACCATAAAATATTGTAAAAGGCTACTGAAGTCAATCTCACAGAGCAGACTGTCCAGGTTGTAGATCAACCATTCCACAGCTGCAGAAACATTTATTTTTCCTTCATGCACTCTGACAAGAGTCGACAAAGACTCCTACAATCTCATATAGTGTTGTGTCCCACAGTCTGTGCTAGCTCCCTGAACTTTCTTCTTCTATTCTTACTGCCCTTCAAGCACTCCATCACCTGTGTTTTTGCTTTGTCCATATTAGCAAGAATAACTGCAACCTGAGAGTAGTAGGAGAGTAGCTAATGCACAACGACAATCAAGTACAGAGCTCCACATACTCATGGGGCATGGCAGAAAGGTTTTCGTAGCATTATTTTGAAAACAACCTCTTCTGTGACATAGTTTACATTACCGTTCTGCTAATATGATCAAAATCTCTTCTACAGCTTTAGACATACAGCAGTTTCCAGTAAATCTCAATGAGAAACAGTGATTTATGGCCAAAGCCAGATGAAAACAGTTACTAGAGAAATGTAAGAATACACAAATATTGTACTGTGGTTTTATCATGACAGTCCTCTATTTTTATATGTATATATCTGTATCTATCCGTACACAACTATACAAAAGCATGCATGGTTCACATTATTTCCAATAATCTCCTACTTTTAAAAATAGCCACAGATTATACTCACCAGCTCTTAGTGGTCTAGGGACTCCTCCAACAAAAATTGTTTTTCGAGGATCAAGCGGCTGGGAACCATCCATCACGAAGTCACTATCACTTAGATTCCAGGGACGGATCTGAACCTATTAAATTGGGAAAGAAAATAGTATGCTACTTTAAGTTTGACTACATTGTGGATCTATGTTCATCAGCCTATATAAACTGTCAAACTCATAACCCGATTATCTTAGCATGTCTAGGTGCCTGTTTTAATCATATTAATTCAAACCACTACAATTTTAAAATCATTCAACTGTTCCAGATGTTGAGCTCTGCCAACAGTAGTTTGCTTTTGATTATTTTCATCGTCATCGTTTCAAATGCAGCTTTAGACAGATGGCAGCTATAGCCTGCAGGCCATCAACTGTTTACTTACTGGCTTGTCCTTGATTGTAGGACTGGAAACACACAGATAGAGCTTTCCATCTTCTTCAATGCAGGCGTCAATCAGAGCCTGAACAGAACTCTCTTCTTGGAACAGGAGGAACGCATAACCTGGAAAAAAAGCCAAACCAACCGGTATTTCTTCTCTTATCTTTATTTTTCCCCAATCATCTTTGCCAGTGACTTTTCCATACAAATGTGTTTACTCCAAAAGAAAGTCAAACCAAATCTTTGTTATTAGTTGTCGACTTTAACTATGTACTACCTTGCCATGATCAACAGAACTTCTATCCTTAAAATAATTGTCAAAAGAGACTAACAACCAAATAAAAGCAAACATGTCTGCTCTATCATGTACTGGAAGTCTAGGCTGAGCATAATTCATTGGCAGCAACGGACATTATACAATGAAAATCCGACTTGGCACAAAGGACTAATCTCTATTCTAGAGATTAGATCAAAGTACTTTGTTACGTAAGTGACCCAGCAAACCTCCCAAACACTACAAAAATAGGAATTAAAATGCTTATTTAATGCTACAGTAAAAACAAACAGCCAAGACAAGCAAAGAACCTTACATGTTAGAATACTTTAACAACTACAGCATAATGATACATACAAAATTTGTTACTTTACAGGTGCCCAATACTGCAATTAGGGTTGTATCCTAAAATGAACTTTAAAAGGACCATAAAACCACATTTCTTTCTGACATTACTAGCAAGTGTGAAATTTTCACATGAAGCTATGTTTTATTACTTTGATGGAAAAGTAAACGGTGAAGCAGCTGCTCCAGAGTGCGTCTGTTTTACCAAGCCTTTTGGAAGTGATAACATAATTCTGAGAGCAGCTAGTTAACCACTGGCAACTTCTTATTGCAAACAGACAGTGTAGGTCATCAAGGCAAAGATGGTGGAACGTATCTTGAAGAGCATTAAATCATCAGTGTGTTAAGAAGAATGTAACAGAAACAAATGCATGACTGATTTTAGATATATGGGAACAAAAGCAGGACTTAAAAGAAAAAGCTGTAAGGCCTATACTGGTCTTTCTAGTAACTTGTACCTCATTTCTTACCCCTCATACCACGGGGTCCTAACACAGCTGCCTACAAGGGACACATGCAAAGGTTTTATGTATTCTACACTTTCACGTATATCTTATTTAGTTTCTTAACAAATATACCATAGGGAATCTCTGGGCTTAGGCTGAAGCATTTCCTTGTGAAGTCAATTTTTCATTACTGAAAAATACTTTGTAGTGACAATCAGTTTAACTTAAGATGAGTTATTATTTTGATTCGAAATCTGTTATAATGGAGATATCCTTCAGTATTTATCTTAGAATTTACAATTCACATATGACCCACGCAAAACTCACACACTGAATGAGGGCATGACTAGACCCATGTAATTGTCCTTACTTGTGTGGAAGCCAGCCACACACGTCCTGTTTGAATGGAGAGCTCAGTACAAGAATGACAGGAGTGCAAAACCTTGATTAATGAAAGGGAGGGCTAAGCGCACATGATTTCGATTAAGGGATCAGACTTACTGTAAGGCTCACAGAAATACAATGTTTTGCCAGATGCTGAGCTTCCATTAGTTCTTATCCTAAAGCACATCAAGAGTACTGCCATATAGCTCCTGATACATAAAGATAGTCAGTGTCTCCACATGATCTACCATTTGTATGTCTGCAGCTATTAATATATTTAAGTAAGGCAGCTTGTAAAAAGATAGAAAATTCAAATAATACAACTTGATCAGGGAACAATTAGGATTACTATATCCTACCACACCTGAAATAAAAGGAAAGCAATACCAAAACTGTATGTGAATACTGCATTCTCAATGTTATCTGCAAAACGTGTTCTCATGTCTGGGTTCATCCCACTTAATTTTAAATGTTGGACAGGCTTGTGTCATGAGCTTAGCTGTACTACTTCCCCTCTGAAGACACAGAGGGTAGTCTGTATCAAATTGGTCTGGCTGTAGTTTTTGCTCCACAGCTCTAGTCCTTCACTGGTTTAAAATGCATTTTAGTTTGCTCCTCAAGTCTAGCCTAGAGGAAAATAACCATCTCTCTTGGTGAAGAACACTGGCTAGAGATCATTTGCTGAGCTCTCAGGTTTCATAGCCACATAGAGAGACAGTCAGTCCCTTCCAAAGAACGCTAGACTTGCACAGCCTGCACACAAACCACTCTCCATGACTTGCCCCAGACCAGGGCGCACTTCCTGGCCATTGGGCCATAGGCTTCTCTGAACAACACCAGTTACATAGGCAACCAGCCTGTATTTATTAGCTAGAAAGCACTTGCAAAGGGAAATTATGCTCTTATCTTAGGTATTTAATTTAAATATCGTAAATTAGGGCTGCTCTTGTTACTACAGCTACCACATGCCAACAAGTGTATGGCACAAACTTTATTCTTACCCCTTTCTGTTTTGTCAATATATGCTTTCATTACATTATTTTTCACCTCAACATCTGTAACTCATGAACTATTATGGATGTTTAATGTCTGCAAAGCTAGTATGGTGGTGGTAAGTCACGTGCGTAAGTACGATGAAAAAGACCAAGTGCCTAACTAGTCTTTTTGGAGCAATACTGAACTACAATTACCATGTGCGATAGAAAGTACATGTCATAGTGAAACATGGTGGCGAGGCAGGGTGAAGAGTAGGTGGTATTTTATTGTACTACAAAACAGCTTAACTTCCTCGTATCTTGTTTGTTTGGTTTACCACTTCAGTCATTTAACAGCTTCACACTCAATAGCAATGCAAGTCTGTTTAAAATGAAAAACCAAAGCTACTTGAACAGTTTTCTTTGAAGGAAGCTGCTTCCTAGCTTTGAGTTACATGTAACACCAACAGTAGCAGGTCATGATCAGAGATTACACTTGCCAAGAGACAAAGCTTGTATGTTTTGTACATATTTTACAAGGTGAGAAGTATTAGATGAAACACAGTCTTCTAAAAATTTCTTGTTCATGTGCACCTCTACCAGATTTTATGCCTCCTGTGAGAGACAAAGTTTAGGTAACCCCTGAGAGTGTTTATCACTTTAACGAATTCCTCTTCATAACACGAGAACTATTACTTATACTCCTATCTTCAAAGGCGATCAGTGTGGGTGACTGTCATGCCCACTTTGTTGTGCCTGAAAAATTTGGTGGTCTTCTATGACAGGGTTACAGCATTGGTGGATAAGAGAAGAGCAACTGTCATCCTCTACCTGGACTTGTGCAAAGCATTTGACACTGTCCCACATGACATCCTTATCTCTAAATTGGAGAGACATAAATTTGATGGACAGACCACTCAGTGGATAAGGAATTGGCTGGATGGTTGACACACTGGAGGGAAGGGATTCCATCCAGTGGGACCTTGACAGGCTTGAGAAGCGGGCCCATGCAAACCTCATGAAGTTCAACAAGGACAAGTGCAAGGTCCTGCACATGGGTCAGGGCAATCCCAAGCACAAGTACAGGCTGGGCAGAGAAAGGATTGAGAGCAGCCCTGAGGAGGACGACTTACGGGTGCTGGTTGATAAGAAGCTCAACATGAGCTGGCAATGTGCGCTGGCAGCCCAGAAAGCCAACCGTATCCTGGAAGCGTGCTCCTCTGCTCTGCTCTTGCGAGGCCGCAGCTGGAGTACTGCATTCAACTTTTTATTACATAAAGAACAAATAAAAAGCAAACCATTCTAGACTAGATTCACAGAGGTAGCTAACACAATTTACTGAGTAAGGTATAATTTCTTTATTTCATAGTAATACGGAAGTTTACTAGAAGGAGAAAGGATGCTTCTTCTGCTATGTGTACTCTATGTAGAAATTAAAGCTGCTCTCTGATTTCTATCAAATTCCAGTTAACTCTACTTGCTAATTTCCTGGAGGAGTCATCAAAAAAAAAAAAAAAATCAGTGCAAGCCAGCATGGCACTGTCTGTGTCAGTCAGTATGGCTGTGTTTTGTTTTGGGGTTGGTTCCACTACTGTCCTGCCAGACTGTCCCCAGAGGAGACTGAACAGCCTCAGTGCAGTGCCAATTCTTGCCCACAGAATGCTGTGCCTTAGCTTAAGTCAGAAAGAGTCAGCGTAAACTGCAGGTTAATACAGACAACGGATCTATGTTCGATGATGGGAATAATTCACATTTGGGAAAGACACACAACATTTAATCTATTCCTCTTTTAAAGATCTCATCACCATATTAATTAATTTTAATATTTAAAACACACATCTTTCATTTGTTCAGTTTAGTCATATTTGATGGAGAATTAACTCCAAAATATACTTGAAGTGAAAAAATGCAGGCTGATATAATTGTACTGCATCTATTACTTGAGGTACTTTTGAGTAGGGGGGAGCAGGATTCACTTTAAGATCTAAACACCTATTTCCATATTTCTACAGTGAGTGTGTTTAAGCTCCTACTGTAAGCTCCTAGTAACTGCATCCAGTTAATGTAGTCAGTGGTGACTGGATGGTTACTCAACTGACCAAGTGGGACAGGGAAGTGTCTAGTATCACTTATCCTCTACAGGACTTTGTCCAACCTTCGGCTGGTGCTCCAGAACGGTGCGGAGGTTCAATAGGTGATGCGTCACATTTGCAAGATCTGTGTAAATCTTCTAGATATCCTCGGTCTGGGTAAACGAATCAAGCTCAATGTGCTTATGTTACAGTGACCTGAATCGCCCTCTGTACTCCACTGACTGTACTGGCCAGATTCCCATTGATTAAAGGAAGCTTAGACACTAATCACACATGAAGACACCTACAGTTTCTTGCCTGAATCCAGAGTTCAATCTTATCCAGTGTGATCAAGTAAGCTGGTAACAAGTTAAACAGAACTTGGATGGACCTGGAGTTTTGCTTCTTAAAGTACAGAACATTTTCAACTCATTCTTTTCAGTCAGCTCTAAATTAGCAGTTAAGTCCCTGAATAAACAAAGCTACTGCACAACTGCTGTGATAGAAGGCACTAGAAACACCCAGACAATTAGGAAAGGCAGGCGATACTGCTCTGTTTAAATCAGATTATCCTCTGTTTGATACGGACTATAAATAGTACAGAGCATACAAACAACTGGGCATATTTTGAAAAGCCTTCTTTGGATTTGCATATCTCATGCCACCATTTCTTTGAGCACTTCATTATCATAAGGAGGAGTCCACACCTCAGCAAGTTGTTTTGGACATGTGTACTGTTTCATAAATAAGTGTATTTGCCAATTACGTAACAACAGGAGTTATGATAAACAGTGGCAAGTCAGAAAGGAAGGAATTCTCCATTACAGTTGGCAGATCACTTACAGACTTTGCACTTTGAACTCAACAGAATAATTTTTTTCTGCCTCAGAACAGAGTTTCAATGTAAGATTAGTGTGAAGTTTTTAAAATTCCTGTTTTCTTTGGGCCTAATTTTGTGGTGAACCAATACAAAATGTAATTAGTTAAGAACAAGCAGTTGGTTTTTCTCAGGATGCAGCCAGCCTTGATGGATCAGGACACTCTTTAAACTCTTTCCATTTCTCCACGCAAGGAAATACTTATTATGAATTTGGCCTTCCCTCAGGACTTTCTGTAAGCAGAGAGCCTGGAAGGAACCACAGCCTGGAAAATGGAAGAAGAGTTTGGGGGGAAAAAAAAAAAAAAAGGCAAGCAGCAAGAAGGCTGTATCTCTTCACCACAGACAAGACTATTACGTAAATCAGCCCAGAACCAGAAAATTCTGAGATGCCTTTGGAATGTAAAACGATGTTCAAATCTCTAATGAGACTGAACAAACAAATATATATATACTGAATCGATTCCATGCATAGTAACAAATACAAAACTGGAGATTAAAAGTGAAAAGAAAAACCACAACAAAAAACCCCACAACTCCTTGGGCTAATATAGTATAAATTTCTGAATTGTTAATTATGAATCAATCTCAACACTTTCTTAGTATTTAGCCTATCCTTAGCAGTTCCACGACATCTTATTAAATATATGCATACACAGTTCTTGCCTGCACACGAGTTACTACTTAAGACAAATTTTTAAGAAATTCTTCTACAAAATAATCATGGGCCATATCTATTGCACTGAAAAAAACAGATATAAACACAATATTCAGCAGTTAACAGTAAGCTCTATTTCCAGAGTATCTGCAAAGAGAAACCTACACTGTATTTTAAATGTGTTAGGCTACACTACAAAACAATACTGATTAATGTAGTAAACCAAAAATTAGAATAAAGTTTTAAGATTGAAGAACGGTTAAGTGCTATTAAATTTCAAATAAGGATCAGTTAATCATGGGAAACCAACTTAACAGTTCGCACGTGTTTCCTGAATTAATTCCATCAGCAGACTGAAGTTCTTCTATTTGTATTCTCTGCTTTTAAGAAGCTCTGCTCACAATATGATTATTTATTTATTTACTGTGGTAATTATAAATATTGCAACTATATCAAAAAGCTTTATTAAATGAGGAAGTCTAGAAATATATCCTTAAAACATTCAGATGTTGGGACAGGACTGTCTCCTTGGAAATAATGCCAGAATCCATTTCTTTCAGGTAAGAATACATTACACCCTCCCTCTTCAATATATTTATCACAAACTCTGCAAGATTCATCTCCCTCAAAGATCTCAAGAATTTCTCTTGGTAATTTATGAGGAGATACACACTCCTTAGGATAACAAAATTTAACTTGACAGTAGCTTTGTTTATCAGGCTGACAATCAAAAAAGTCAACGTCTCTTTGTTTATCTTAGAATTTCCATGTAGAGTTCATAAAAACTATTCAAATACTTCCAATTCCATTTCCTATCCTGTCTCTTCCTCAACATAGCTGGTGAGATATATAAATGAAGAATCAGTTTTATAAAGGCACTATACCTTGCTGCATTCTCTACAAAATGAATAATCTCTGCATTGCTTTCATATCTGGATCCGATTTTTGCACTTATTTTATATGTACTAATACATGATTGCACATGTATAGAGATATGCTACATAATTACTTAATGTACAGAATGGCTTTTCCAACATTTTGTAAGTGACATTAACTATTTCTAGTGTTGCTGGTAGACTAGATTTTTTAAAAAAATCAGTATTTATTAATTTATCAAAAAAGATAGTTAGTGCTTCAATAGGAAGTTCACATCCTAAAACTGAAATAAACATAACATTGATTATCTTGATCAGATACCCAAATGCATCCTTCTGAATCCTGCCTGTAACTTCCTATTAAAATTTTTAGTTAGGATTTAGTCTTGAAAACTTGACCAAATTTCAGTTTTGGAAGTCGACAGAAACGCAAATACGGAATTTAGGATTAATGACACATACAACTACAAAACACTGATCTGATATATGGGAAATTAGAATATGGAAGATCCTTCAGGAGTCCAGAACAGAACCAGCCACAATACTAAAATACCACTCTCAGGTTTTAAGACACGGTGTGTAAGAGGAACTGTGTCTGAACCTGCATTGAAACTGCAGAGTTAACGGTTCACAGGGATTGTAAATTATACCTTTTGGAAAAAGATGAGACAGTTTCCAAGAGTAAGATCTGCACTCAGTGATAGGTCAAAATCTTCCAATACTCTTACCTTTTGGTGGAAAATAGGATTTGCTTTCTGCTTTGTGAGGCCAGTCTACTACCAAAGGACCAAATCGTCTGAAGCTAGCAGTAATTTCATCTAAAAACAGGTATAATAGTTGTGATTAAAATAAACGGCATAACTCAATGAAAAAGTACAATCAAAGATCTTTGTTCCTAGCAAAGGTTGACATTTCATGGAGAAAATAAAAGAAAGGAACAAAATTTCCAACTTTCATGAATCAAAAACTTAAATAGACACATCTTCCAAAGCATTGATATTTACACAATATTTTTCTGGTGATTTTAGGCTTACATTTGTTTTTTATTGCTTATTAGCAGGAGCATTTCAAAAGCATATGGGCAACCAAACCAATGGTGTAGTACTTCCTTAAATTCAAAATCTGGTTTGAATGTAATCAAAACAATTTACTGTTTAGGGATGTAGAGTTCAGAGCTTTGCAGGAAGATACTCATATAAGTACCACCACAATTAACATGCTAGTAGTTTCCAGCAAATACCATGCATGGATCAGGTACAGAAGCTTAAAGTTGCCTATCTAGAGGTGCTTCTAACATAACCATGAATAGCCCAGTTGCAAGATCTACCATGCCCCCTGCACAACTTTGTGATGTCTCCCTATCGCAGTCATTCCTTCCTGTCATTGACTGTAAGAACCTTGGCCATGGGGAAAAAAATTAAGCCACCCTAAACTTCACAAGAGCTGTAACTCATGAAACACAAATATACTTCATTTCTTTTGGTTGCATCCTGCCATCAGCATATAAAGAGACAAAGAAAGGAAGAAAATACATTTTCATGTGTCTTCGTTTAGTATTTGTATTAAAGGCAACAGTGCACATTTGACTTAGAAGCTAAAATGCATCATAAAAAGATGAAGTATATTAAAATAAATCCCTTAGTACACTGCAGGAGAGCATGAAGATGAAACCTTCTATGTCTGAAAGTTAATTAACCACAGTCAGCTTATTTGGTTTGCAAGTTACCCTAGGATTACAACGAACCTTGTAAAGGGACTTCTGTTTACATTACAAAGCTAGCACAGAAGAAACCTAATATTAAACAGCACAATTACTTCAGATCAGTACTATTGTACAAAGCAATTCCAACTGCATCACATAATCTGAGATTCTGTGACACATTCTATGTTCAATGCACCATGGAGTGCTCTGCCACTTGACCTTCCTCTGCCTTAGTTTCTCTATTTATGAGCAGGAATAATATTAACCTTCCTAAACCACTTCTGAGATCTTCAGGTAATAGTAAAATAGAATTTGAAATTCAATTACTAATAGACATTTTCTATGAATAGAGAATAAAGCAGACACAGATGGAGGACACTATGAAAGGCTAAAATGTATTTGAAAGAAATATGCAAGGTAAGCAGATACACAAACTCCAGGCATCACAGGCAACTCTACAATCTGCAAGTGCAGAACCAGAGACAACTGAACTATCTCAAAAACAGAACAGATGGATGACATGAGATGGTATGAAGCTCAACATATCCATCAACTCTCAAAAGCATATATATATAGTTGTAGCCTTTTACACCACAGCATTATTTTGCTAGATGAATTATTTCTACTCCTTTGTTTAGGGTTTTTTTTTTTTAAATCCTCTTTCTCTCTCCCTCCAAACTTAGTTTGCTTAGTTTTCAGGCTGCTCACCTTCATCAATATCTGGTGGAAGACCTCCAACAAACACTTTCCGAGAAAAACGCTCAATTCGTTCTCCATTCTGATGAGCTGAATAGCAGGTAGGTGAATTCAGGACTCCAACTTGATCACTATGACCATCGTCCAGCAAACCATCATCTATTGGGAAGAGGGAAGAACGGCCTTAAAAAGAAAAGATAATAATACACATTAAAATAATTTTGTGGCAGTACGGGGTCATGTAATTTTAGGGAATGGGGGAATAGCAGTCTGGAAAGTAAAAATGAAAATACCAAGATATTAGAAAAAGTGCACATTAGTTTAAAGAAAAATTAAGAAAATGAAAAATACATTAAACTTCAAAAAGGAAATTCAAGATGGCAAGCTGACATCACTGTAAGCATAATACTTCATACTACGTCATATTGTAGTTACTCTGCTGCATCCAGTAGGAAAGCAGTAATTTGTTTTTAAAGAAAAGGTCTTATTTATTAAGAGAACATATCAAGGGCCACTTAAGTGAGTTTCACTAGCCTGCCTTTGGTTTAGCTTTAAGTTAAATCAATAACTTCCATCACCTGACTTCTACATATCTAAAAACTGACACTTTAATTCAACAGAGGGAAACAGAAAAAAACACGTGCATAGTAAGAGGTTTCAACCGGGTATGTTTTCTCTTCTCTTTTGAAGGTATCTGATGCTGATAATGTAAGAACAGATTTAATTTCTAAGAAAGCAAAAGAAGATTTTAATAAATGTGCAAACTTTAACACTTGAAAAATGAGTCACAGTGCTGATTTACGCTTCTTGCTCTCAAATTTACCACCATTTCAGAGGGAAGCCTTGTGGTGGTTCCTAACAGGTAGCAAGCTGCAGTAAGATCATAGTTACCCTGAAAAGCAAGTGTAAAATCTGAGAAGTCCACAAGATGGCTTTGCAAATGCAAAGTGGTCAAAACAGATGGCAGGGGGGAGTGAAAACATGGTAATTCTGTCCCACTTATTTCCCTTTATTTCCTATTTACAAATATTAGAGAACTCCAAAATGAAAAGACTCCCAAGGCCAGGATATGCATGTTAGCTCATTCAAACTTTCACTGTTTTAGAATCACAACAAAGATTAATGATAGTTTCAAATTCAGAAGTCAGTCTTTTAACTGCAAAAAGCCCAAAAAGAACACTTTTGTGAAGCAAAACAAATACCCCACATCACCATTTCTTCTGAAGTGCAATTTTTCACCTCTCTCTCTCTCTCATTTTTAAAATAATTAGTAATTAATTCAACTGCTTTCAAAAAACAAGCAAGCAAACAAAACCAAAATACAACTAGCGCTCTTTTGGGAAGCAAGGTAAGTTTCCATTTCAAATAGCCAACTTCTTCCAGATTCATCCACTGCAAATCCACAAGCAGGAGCAGTTAGGTCCCTGAAAGCTGAGTCTGCAGTACCTTAGTTGTGAGCCATACTGCAGTCCGTAACTTCTATCCCCTCTCAGGTGAATACTACCAGGAGAGCCCTGTAGGAACACCTACAGACACTGTGCTGATCAGCTAGGGCTGAGAGCAGTACAAAAGCCATTCACTTCCAGCAGACCACCTGAGAATCAAGTGTTTAAAGACAAGGCTGGAGAACATCATGACCAATGATCTATGTTGTAGTAATGCCTAACAACTCTGATTTGGTACCTAAATTCTTAATAAAAATACAGTATATAAAAAATACTGAATGAAAACACAAGATGATAGAATACAACCAAGCATAATAAAGTGACACGAGGATCATAAAATAAAAGCAGGACCATAGGACTAAACTTAGTAACAAAAGACTGTAACTAAAAGATCTTTATTGTTGTACTTCACATTTATGCCTTAAGTAGGCATTTGATGGAGTACAGCAAATGCAGAAAGCTGTAGTAGGCTTCTCCCTTCCATTAGGAATGGTGATACACATGTTTGAGAATATGACTAGTGGGGAACAAGTGATGGTATCCTTGCTTGCTATCATAAGGATGCATTCAACAGCTAGGTTAACAGATCAGCAGAGCGCCTTTAAAAGTGGAAGCATGTAGCTGGTGCTCAATGGGGCACAAAAGTGAAGAAGCAAGGGAGAAACAGAAAGTTAACACAGCTGGAAGAAGCAGTCAGGCAGATTCTTCTTGTAAATCATCTATTTAGACATGAGAGGAGCAAGATCATGCTATGAAGACTGCAGCAGCTGAGTAATGTGGATATGAGTTTCAGTTATGAAGACTAGTAAAAATGATTGAGTCTTAAAGATGAATACGATGAAATGGTAAAATTGGGTTAGACAATCAAGAAAGAAGGATACAATGATGGATTTCTGAATTACTGATGTGAATGATGAAGCTATTGCAGTGACAGTGAAAGGAAGAAGTGGCTAAAGGAAGAAGTAAGACTCGAATTGGAGGAACTCGCAGGAAACTGCAAAAGTGGAAATTTTAAGAATTTTCACTGATATATGACAGTTATTCTTAAGATCTTACATCTAGAATGACTGTAATTTAGCTGGCTTATCTTTCTAAAAAGCACATAGATTTGCTCTTTACCTCTGCAAGTCTCTATACTGCAGGAAAAAAAGAAACTCACGTGACTTAAAAACATGCCAATTTTAATAAACTTGTTAGCATTAGACTATTGCCACAAAAGCATGTAAGTGTTAAGCATTTAAGGGAAAAAATAATCAAAGAATAATCCTCAGAAACAAATTATCCCACAGATCAATGTTAAAATCTAAAAAAACAACAAGAATCTAAGGTGCTCCTCCCAGTTCAAATTAAAGCATCAGAACAGGTTTTGAAGTGATACCAGAGAGATCAGTTTTACTTTAAATGTGGGTAAAGGTTTGCCGAAAGCATTGTAGCTCCTCAGAGAGGTAAGATGACACAGAGGACAACAGATTAACACATTCAGAATAACGTGCTCTGTATGACTCCTAATACTTTTTTCTCCCTCCTCTTCACTTTTACATGCCTCTCAGATGAAGAGAGCAAAAAGGTAATTTACTAGGCTTTCACATTTCTCCTCATGACTGTGAATTAAAAGGATAAGCCCTTTTAAACACTTGTTTCTTTTTGTTTTATGAAAACGAAAAGAATAAAGCAGAGTCTGCCAGGAACAGTCAAAACACGACTGTAGTCACATACGTTGACCACGACCTACATCGTCATTCCTCTCTACATCAGGGCTACCAAGCAATCACTTAGGAAGCAATGAAGAGATCAAGAGACAGATACATGAACTTATGCGTATGTTGCAAACACTGCAAGCTATCAAAGACCTTGATGGTTTTACCACACTTCACACAGCCTTCGTAACTACTGCAGGTCACACATCCTCATATAGTTAAATCAGTACAGCACTTCCGAGGCCAGTGAGCATATATTGGTTTACACTACAACTGTTTACTATTTTTAAGAGCTGTCTACTAGATTTCTTGCTAAGTTTACTAAAAACTTTTCATTTTTACTCTGTATGCTACCACTTCTACAGAAGCAACAGAAGATGAGTTAGAACAGCTAGCAAATTGTGTGCTTTTAAAGGGGGCAATGACTGCAAGCAGTAGCCATTAGCATGAACTGAATTATGATTAGAACTACAGTGTTTTAACTGATTAAAGGATTTGTAATTCAAACTCTAAAAATTAGAGATCAATTATCATAACAATCCGGACTGCACCCCTCCTTCCCTCACACCCTCCATCTTTCCCAAACTAAGACAACATGCAGATAAGCGTTTATAATCAACAATCTGGATTAATTAATCGTAATCATCAGTAACAGCTCAATCAGAATTAATTGCACTGTAACAAACAGAAGTGAATTACCTCGTCTTCGCCCATAACTCCTCGCTGCATGCAAACAAAGGACAAATTGTAAAATGTCAAATAACTGTATCATGCCCACATATTAAAATATCTAAGATACAAAGAACTATGTGGGTAAGTGATCAGTAAAAATCTGCATCAGTACTTGCTACTGATAATTGTAGATGAGAATGCATTAAACCGAAGTCTTACTTAAATACCATACTATTTTACCACTAAATTGATGTTAGCACCAGCTGTAAAAAACATACTTTAAAATATTTCAACATGTCTTTATACTTGATCTTAACTTCATGTTAATTATGGATGCATAAATTACAGTAACTTTGTAATTCACCTTCACAAATGTGATTCAAGTTACACATGCGTCTAAAATAACACACAGGGTACTGAAGTTTTAAAAGGAAAATATTACTTTAAAAAGCATATAGCAAGCGTTAAATTAATCACAGAAGCATCCTGGTCCATGGAACAGTTTGTACAGTCCTTTGCAGTGACAATACAAATGCTGTAAGCCATGACCTTCCTTTTTCATGAAAAGACCTAGCAGAAAATTAACCGCAAGGTTTTGTTTGAAACAAAAGGCTCCTTGTGGTAGCAAACAAAATCAGGGCACAAGTCACAAGAAATAGCATTGTGTCAAAAATACTGCACAAAGGCAAAGCAACAGTTTCTGACAGACAGCAAGTAAATCCAAGATTTTCCTAACTTTTGAGTTTTGCAAGATTCTTAAAGAGATCATGCTTATTGCTACAGTTCAAAAAACCACACTGATTGCTTCTCTGCCTGAAGGCTAGGAACCTAAAAATAGACAGATTACTAATACAAAAACTATTAAGCTGCGTGTAATTTCTTAGTTACGTTTCCACAAAGTATTTTCAATTCCTGTTTCACAGACTTTGCATCTGAGAAAGATTACTTTAATCGCTACTGCACTGTAGTTAAATATCCAAATAGAAAGCATTACTATAAACTGTAATGTTATAGCCACATTTATGAACAAAGATTACTGTGTCTCAGCATTATATAGATTTTACTAGCACTCCATACATAGCATCTTTCCCAAAAAGCAACTGTGGTTCTGGGACATTGAGATACCTGCAGCCTCATAAACTCAGTGATTCATAAATGTCATTCACTGTTCCGTTCTCGTATTATTAAATACTTACTTTCTAGTACCTCCCCATATGCATGGGGTTTTTCAAAATTTTCCGTTAAGTGTATTTTTTTTTCCCCTCTTTGTTATCTTGATCCCTCCTTCCTAGGAATTCAGTGGATTGAAAACCTCTCTCCTTGTTTTATCTCCCTTAAAACTGATGATTTGTTATGCAACAGTCATTATATTCCTACCCAACTTGCATTGAACTCACTTTCAGATTTATCTTTTCATCTGAAATAATTACTATTGAAGAGAACAGTGTTTTGCTTCAAGTTTTTCAGATCCTCCAACTTTCTACTAGTAAGCCAAAACAGAAGAGCCCACTGTCCGAAAGAGACGCGGGTATCTAACAAAGTGGCAACACCTAAATTCACATTTCCCACATCAAAACGGAATCCACAAAACATAATGTATTCTTCCATGTGATTAGTTCTCTCATCAGTTACTGCTGCATGGAGAGACCAATGCCAGACTTAGACTTGTTTTCCTCTGAAGTCAAACACGTAGCACCATGTCAGTGCTGCGT